ATATATCTGCAGTCTTATTATCTCCCTCGATGGTATTTACCTCATCGTGCAGTATTAAACATGAAAAAACCAGATCTTAGAGTGGTCCTTGATTGTGCCGCCCAGTTTTCAGGGGTTCCCCCAAATGATATGATTTATCAAGAACCCGATACCACTGCTGAGTTAAGGTGTATATTAATAAGTTTTCGCAAGGAGGCAGTTGCAATCCCTGTAGATGTTGAAGAAATGTTCATGCAAGTGAAGGTCCCTGAGTCTGATCGAGGAGCTTCAGGACTTCTGTGGTGGCAAGAGGGAGACATGTCGAGGGAATCATCCGAGTTTCAAATGACATCCCATCCATTTGATGCCACATCATCGCCATTTTGCGCGAACCTTGCCCTGAATAAGACGGCCCAAATATTCTCTGACCGTTATGATGGTTATGTTGTAGATGATGTCAAGAATAATTTCTATGTTGTTGATTGCTTGATATCCATTCCCACTTGTGATCAAGCAAAGAGTTTCGTTAAGCATATAAGTGAATTATTATGTAGAGGAAGTATACAAAAAATCACCGATCTTGAATCTTGGTTCAAATGTCCTATTTTATTGCATGGCGAATTTTATATAACAATCACTGACTGTACAGAACCTACTCTTGACGATATTGAGTTTAGAAAAACTGCTGTGGTTAACTTGAGTAGTATAAAGTACAACAAGACACCTGTTCTCTCTTATTATTCCGAGTGGTTGAAATTAGTCAGAGCTGTAACCTGGTTTAGAAGGTTCATCGAATTCCTGATGGTACTTCGTTTACCGAGTTGTGAAGGATCCGTTCATCTAGGATGTTTAAAGGTCAAAGAGCTTGAGATTGCCAAGCGTAAGATTTTATTGATGGTCCAGAGAGAAGTGTATGGAGAATTACTTAGTGAATTTAAGAACAGTAGTAAAGTAGTAAGCCATGATGATCTGAAAGGTTTATCGTTGATGATGCTTGATGGGTTACTCTGCGTTGGAGGTCGACTAAGATACTCAGATTTCCCAAATGCTTTTAAACATCCAGTAATTTTACCCAGTCGACACTTAGTGACGGAAATGATAGTTAGACATTGTCATAAAGAACAAGGACACATAGGAAGATCATTAGAAAAAGGGTATGGATATGTGTTTACTTGTTTGCAAACATGGGCAGTACATATTGAAATGATGTGTAATTTGATTACTGATTCATTTTTAATGGCTCTATTACGTTTTATTGGAAGAAGAAGGAAACCTCCAGAGATTTACAGTGTCAGTGCGTCAAGCTTCGTGGGGACAGTTTTTGAGTTAAGCAAGTTTGTGCAGCAGTCGAATCAGAAGATAAACATTGAATTGTCAGCGAGGCCCTCATCCAACAGCATGGGTGGAGTTTGGGGAAGAGTGATTAGGCCTATATCACGACTGTTATCGTTGATCACCAGAGAACAGGTGAAGCAGGTCTCCTTGAAGCTTTGGATTAGTCTTTGTTGTTATTAATATAGTTAGGTCGAGTAGGCGTACTGTTGTAAGTCCTACTCGTTCCTATGGTGTGATATGTTATATGAGGAACCATGACCGTAGGCGTCAAGGTAGCTTGTGTGATATGGAGGGATTTTGGGGGCCGGTGTAAGATCCATTTTGAGTGCCTCGTGTGTTTGTGAAAATCCCTCCATGTATATACTTACACTTTGTTCCTATTGATTCTTTTAGTTGTACATTGTTAACTTTTTGACTACATTTGAATTGTTAATATTTGTATTTTATTATAGTTTCGTTTTTACCACACCTTCACCAATTCCCCATGTTTCTTCCCGAGCTGCACTTATGTTGTTTTACTTTATACTAAGTCTGGGCGGTAGCCATTTTGGTTTATCCTTGCTTTTGATTGCTTGACCTGTGTTGACTGGAATTGTGCATTTTGGTTGTGAATTGAAGCACTCTTCCAGAATTGAAAACACTCTGTGTTATAGAGCGACCAATTATTACCTTTTGAACGAATCTGTACGTGATCTATCCAGACAGGATAGAATAACATTTATTTGTGGTGATTGGTAATTTTCTTGCATCTTCTATCAACTTCTTTATTTATTGTAATTTAGATTTAATTGATTGAACAATCATTGGTTGAATAGATGGGTGATAATATTTGTTTAGGTAATGATTTACATTAAATTTATTATGAATTATAGAACCGCTAGTTACCCGATTACTTGTTCTGATTTCGACGGGAAAGGGCGCGTGTCTAAAACCCCCTGTCGGCTATTCTTCAACATCCAAACCGTAGTTTGGATCCTACAATAGTGACTGTTCATATTAAATCGTCTTCAACCATGAATCGGCTTCAAACACTGGTATTATTTTTATGGGCCATATGCAACGGGAAAGCACATGGGCTGACTGATGACCAGCTTATTCCCATATCCATTATTTGATCGAATACGTTTTCTACCAGTTTTAGCTTTTCTAGTAATATCGGTTGTCGTTCGTATGATTTAAGATGCTTATCGAGCACCAGTTGTAAGTATGAATTAGTTTTATGTTTGTGTGTGCCTAAAATTATGATCTTGTTCGGTATTCGTATTATTATAATAAGAGATTTAATCCATAAATCGTAGGTTTGTCTTGACGTGACTACCTAATCTAAATGACCTTAGGTGTAAGTTAAATCGTCTACACTGGCTCGTCCTATCACGACGCTGAGCGATATACATCTAGCATTTCCCAAGAACACATTTGAGCTGGAAAGGGATTAATACTTTTGATACAACTGGCAAGTGGTTATAAAAAGTGACCACGCCCTAATGACTGAGCTATGACATTTCGATTCTTTGTTGCCGCGTTCACCATTGCTGACCTGCTCTTAATGTTACGTGTTGATTGCGTATCTTCTCAATAATTATACGCTCAGCTACAAAGATCGTGTGATTAGGAACCAATACCAGTAAAATTCTTAACTAAGAAATGAAGTCCGCCAAATATATAATTTAGCGATTTCATCAACTAAACTCCGTTTGCTTGGACCGACGTAAAGTTCATGGTATAATAGCAGCCTTGTGCCAGTGATTGGCACTCACACATCTGTAAAAAATTATAGAGAATGGCTTTACGTAAATCCATATTGAGGCAAACGTGTCGTTGACCTCATGTGACGATCGTTTTACCATTTAGCTTCTAAAACTGATGGCCGGATCATTCAGACGATAGCTATTATTCACAGGAAGGGCGCCAACTACTGGGCCAGTGTCGGCGAAATGGCGAACTTTCATCATCCCGTCAGTGATATAAAATAGACGGCCATATCCACCGGCCACGGCCACCATTAACGCGTACCGGCGATGGAGGACTTCAGTATCTTTTGCTGTCGTGCTGAATGTTCAAAAATTAAGTTGTAGAATTACAGAGATTAAAAATTTCGTTTGATATTGATTAAGGCCTTTCTTTGGTAGAATAAAACACGGCTCTGGTGTTATGGTGATTTCCGGAACCCGTTCAGCAGATGCGGCCAGTTCGTCTACAGTGTTGTTTCGGAATTAAACAATGGAAGCTATCACCTGTTTGGTAAGCTTGGATTAAAAGTTTGTATCAAAAGAGCTTCGCCTAAGATTCGTTAGCTAACAGCCTGTCGCGCATGTAGCAACATTCACTTTGTCAATACGTATCACAATTCCATGTTATCGGTCCAGGAATTAATGAATGCAAAGGAGGGGGCGAGGGTGTCTTAATCAATAAAATATCAGTTGTCTACCTCGATACGGTAAGAATAAAGTCCCTAGATATACGAACAGATTCAAAGACACAAAAACATATCACATCATTTAAAAATATATGCAGAAAGCACCTGCAAGGTTAAGACTAAAACTGTATTGTTTGGTAAACCGAATCACGTCGAAGCTTGCCACTGAAGATGTTACGGAGATTCACTGCTCGACAGCTCTGCTGTTCTAAACTTCCCCTATTACTGGGACCTCAAAGCTGGTAAAGTCATAAGTCAAGAATGAAGAGTTTTTATTGTGTATTAAAAATGGTATAAGTAATCCAGTTTGACTATCTGTTGTAAGGGGAGAGAATATAGCCTTGCCCGGACGTGATGTGATGAAGTTGGTTTACCAAGCACTCTCATCAATTTTTCTTACAGTCAAACCAGTACGGCCAATAATGATGTAAAATTTTTGTAAAACCGTTGTTTCTGGGACGTTTTACGACCAAGCATGTTTTAATAACTCGTGTAACCAAAGCAGGTACAAAACGTGATAAACAAAGTTACCCTCTGTAGCCAATAATGAAGGTGGTTGTCAACATTTTAGTAAAAATTATTAGAAAGGAGTTATTCAAGTACCTAACTGAACATCTAATACCCTCAGAAAAGCAAAGTCATTTTAGGGTCAGCTCTACGCTTTTATTGAAATAATGAACCGTCCACCGTCGGACCAACATTGGAAACCTGGAAGCACCTGACTGCTGTTTCGTCCTAGTATGGGGCTTCTCAGTAGTGCGCAACCACGATCCTGCAGAGGGGACTCCAAACAAGGACCTTCTGTCTCATGTCGAGTGTGAGTTAGTTACTCAATGAAGACAGTGGAAGATAGTTGCTCAGTATCGTGAGTTGATTACGACTCAGTGGTCTCCAGGCTTAGTGTTCGCGCGATACCGAATGTCCTGTGTCTAAGCTCCTCGTGCGGGCTCGCAGATGTACTCTGCTGAGGAATCCCATACTGGTACGAAACGAGTACAATGCTAGTAGGTTTTAAATGGTGATATAACACTGATCAGTTCATGGCTGCTATAAACACTCAATGACCTCCACAACCTCATGCTTTTAATTTTAAGCCGTAAGACTGAAAAACACTGCTTTGTTGTATCCTTTTTAACCACATCGTGAGACCAGTTGGTATTTTATAGAGCAATTACCATCAGGTCAATGAGAGTGAAGACAATACACCATAGAGCGCTGCAATATGAAAAGCATATGAACATGAAATAAGGTCTACTAGTCAGAGTCGGTAGTTACAACGCGCATTGATCCTTGGATGTAGAGCGCGGCTACTGTGTTTTTTTGCGTTGTAAGACAATTGCAACATCATCGATTTTAGCTTCTAGTTTCATTTGCCAGACTACCTTCAGTCAAAGTTTGAGTGCTGGTAGTTGTTGTTTGTTTTAAATTTAATTTATGTGCCTAACGAGTTGTCTGCTCACTTTTCAGTTTCAGATTTGTGTATAAACATATCAATCTGAGAAATCCTTACTATAGTAAGGACAAAAAGCTTACGGAATGTGTTAATCTTTTTCTAGTAAGCTCCTGAGTGTCTTATTTCTTGAATGAGTCGATTAAACGGTTGGAAACCACTTCGAGTAACACAGATTCAGATTTGTGTAGTAAGGACAGAAGGCCTATGGCCTATGTTATTCCTTTTCTAGTATGCTTCTGTGAGTGTCCAGTCTTCTCTTGAAAGAGTCAATTGGAGGTGCGGACACCACTGCTTCAGGCAGCAGGTTCCAAGTATTTGATGACTCGGTGTGAAAACCTGTATGCCACGGGTATTTTGTTCGTTCTTGGCTTTTCTACTCGCCTGCTCTCTCCTCTGAGGTGTCCCGATCTAGTGGGAAGAAAGAGAGAGAATAAGTTAGGTCCGAAATTATTTCTCAATATTCTGTACATCAATATTAGATCTCCCCTTAGTTTGCGATAGGTTCAGTTTTTCAAGCCGCTCTTTATATGATAAACCCCAGAGTTCCGGAATTGCATGCGTAGCTGCCCTCTGTACTTCTTCTAGGATATCCGAGTCACATTTCAAACAGGGGCTTGAAGCTTGAACGCAGTTCTCAAGCTTAGTTCTTACTAAGGATGTATATGCTGTGGCGAACATGGTAGAATCTAACTTAGTGAATGTCCATTTTAAAGCCCAAAGGGTTCGAAACCCCTTAGCTGCGACCTCCCGACAATGGGCCGTCGTCTTAAGATCATGACTCACTGTCACCTCTAGATCTTTATGAGACCGGACCACGGGTAATGGCACTTCCCCTATGTTGTACCTATTAATCTTTGAATTCTCCAAGTGCATGTAGACACACTTTGCCGCGTTGATAAGCATCAGCCACTCTTTGGACCAGTTAATCACATTATTTAAGTCTGCCTGAAAAGCACATGCGTCTGTGTCTCAAGTTACTACTCACCAGATCTTTACATCGTCAGCGTATAATAACATTGGAGACTGTACTATACTTGGAAGATCATTAACATACATCATAAAAACTAAAGGACCTAGGACGGAACCTTGAGGTACTCCACTAAGTATTGGTCTTCAGATGGAGCACTTGGAATTTATTCTTACTTCCTGCCTACGACCTACTAGGAAATCCTTAATCCATTATAAAAGAGGTCCGGCAATACCAAGGTTTTCCAACTTCAATTGCAGTCTACTAGTTGACACCTTATCAAAAGCCTTACTGAAGTCTATGTAGACAACATTTACTGAGTTTCTGTAGTCTAGCGCCTTTATCCAAAACTCCCTTGCTACAAGAAGGTTCGTTTTACAGGATAGATCCTTTCTAAAAACATGTTGTTCTATGCTTAGCAAGTTATTGGTTTCCATAAATGCCATTGCGGTCCATTTGACTATTCCTTACACTATTTTAACTACAACACTTGTGAGGCTTACAAGTCTGTGGTTCGATAGAACTTGTCTTGGTCCCGTTTTATGTATAGGAGTGACGAGTGCGTCCTTCCAGTCCATAGATAACACACCTTCAAGTGACATATTCAATATCACAGTGGGGCCGCAATATATTGGGCAATATGTCTCAAGATTTTAGGGTGTAGTTCATCTGGTCCTGTTGACTTCTCCATGTTTAGGGTGCTAAGAGCCTTAAGCACATCGTTTTGGTCGAAATCCACGGTGAGCAGCTGGTTTGTTGACTCTGTAATTGGGTCTGGTTTTTTCTCTGGAGGAGGTTCCTGAGTGAAAACTGCCCCAAAATAGTCAGCCATAACCTCAGTTTTTTCCTGATCTTCCTCTATCATTTCAGATTCACTTCCTACTTTAATTAGGTTGGGAATCCAATGATGAATCCTTGTTCTGTAGTTTATGTACGAGAATATCCTCTTGGGCTGCTTGAGCGCAGATTGTGCCATCTGCATTTCATATTTTCTTTGCGCTTCCCGAATTTTAGTTATACACTCGTTTCTTATCGATCTGTAGCGTTCCATCGTATCTGCTGTGCCAAGGCGGATGACAACATCCTAGCATTTCTTCTTTTGTCTTAGTAGGCGTCGAATATCCCGCCCTATCCAGGGATTTCCGTCCCAAGGATTGATGATTGGCTTTTCTACTTGTCTGATATGTCCTCTGAGTTATCCTGATCTGGTAAGAAGAAAAAGAGGAGATATATTGGGTCCAAAATCATTTCTTAGTGTCCTGTATCAAAGTCAGATCACCTGTTAATGTGCGATAGGACAAAGTGGTCTAGCTTCCCAAGCCGCCCTTTGTATGGTAAACCCTGGAGTTGCATGGGTAACTGCCCCCTGTACCTTTTCCAAGATATCTGAGTCACCCTTTAAACAGAGATTTGCAGCCTGAGCGCAGTTTTCAAGTTTGGATTTCCCTAAAGTTGTGTATACTGTAGTGAACATATCAGTATCTAACTTTGTAAACGTCAGCCTTAAAGCCCATAGGGTTGTAAACCCCGTAGCTGCGACCCCACAGAAGTGGGCTTCGGTCTTAAAGTCATGGCTCACTATCACCCAAACATCCTTGTGAGGCCGGAATACAGCTACAGACTCCCCCTCTATGCTGTACCTAGTGTTCTAAGTGAGACCATAATTTGTGAACGTCTTTTGAACGCTGCCAAAGTGACCCTGAGAATGTCCACCTAATCAGCAGGTATAAGTGAGTGTTATAAGCTTGTGTGAAGAATAAGGATTCTGATTTAAAATTGATGGTTAGGGCTATGAATCACATTTAGGGTTTTCGTCACGAACTGACATCATCTAAAATGCCAAAACGCTATTTAGCCGAATGGTTGAATGAATTTCACGCCAAAATCCGAAACCTGTTGTTTTAAGTCTGATTGGTTCGTCCATAAATCACAGTCTTGTCGTGTTTTTTTTTCTTTTATTACTCCCTTCAGATTCTCGCACTTAACTTACCTCCAATCCAGACGGAAACCTGTCAGCAACTGAATGCTATAGCATCATAATGGCAGGAGTAAAATTTATTAGAGTTTGCGAAGATGATAATGAGAGTCCAATTGAGGTACCGATTGAAGATGATGGCACAGTACTTCTTGCCACACTAAAGTCCGTGTTTCCAAAGTCAACTGGTCTCAAGTATTTAGCTCCTGATTCAGGTTGCCTGAGAGGTGTAAGGCTTAATGATGGAAAACTCTATGCCCCATCAGATGGATGGGTGCATGTTTATCAGTGTGCATTACCTAGAGGTACCTTTATCTTTGTGTGGTATTCCGTAATGATATATAGAAAATAAGCGAAAAGGTATAGAAGAGAAAGATACTTACAGTTCGAAGTTTAAAAAGCTGGAGGAGAAGAAGTGCACAGACCTAATTGTTTTAAACTTGGCGTGGAAAACTGATGAATCCACACTAAAGGAGTATTTCTCACGTTACGGTGACCTCGTAACAGTTCAGGTATTTGTTGTTGTATTTATCATGTCGCCCAGGTTAAAAGACATCCAGATTCCAATTTGAGCAAAGGGTACGGATTCATTCGGTATAGCGATATGGAATCGCAAATTATGTGTCTGTCTGAACGACATAGTATAGATGGACGCTTGTGTGACGTCAGAATACCCATCTCCAAGGTAAGGATGATGTTCTTACAAAATCCGTAGTTGGAAGGAGATCGTCAAGAAGTAAGCCGAAAGGTACATGTGGGTGGAATTACTGAATCCATTACAGCCTCTGTGCTAAGAGATTACTTTTCACAATTTGGTGCAGTAAGTTGCATTTCCATTGTTTATTTGCTGATAGGTACTCGATGTATTTATTCCCAAGCCTTTTCGTTCATTTGCCTTCGTATCATTCGAAGATCCTGAAGTTGCAGCGGAACTACTGGGAAAAGATCAAGTTATAGAAGGTGTTTGTGTGTCAATCGGCTCTGCAGTCCCCAAATTACACCCTCAGCAAAATCGAAATGGTCCTATGTATCCTAATTCGCACTTTGGAAATTCGCACAACCCTTGGGGTATTTTGTTTGTACTGTAAATTCATCTCCTTTGCGTTTTAGCCTGGCAATACAACTCAGTAATGAATGGCCATGGTTCACGTGATTTCAACCCTGGTATGTATAATTCCATGCAAGGTTATAATATGGCGTCTCATTCACCATTCGGAAACAATTTTTCTTCATATCAGCGGCAATACAACTCATATGCAAACAGAATTAATATGTAGGGCTGGTATGTTTATCCACATTTATTGAAGTATTTGAAGTAATCGCTATTTTGTGATGATAATTCTTTCCATCATATTGCGTTACTTAATTTGTGTGAGCGCATTAGTTTTTTAGATATTTGGTCAAACATATGTACCTATATTTGTATGTAAAACCGTGGAACACAGCCATTAACTCAGTAGACATGCCTAATTTTTTCGTATGTTTAAACAATCCAGGAATCAGTGGAGTGATTTTCAAGCTGTCGCCTAATACAGGTTGACCAAATGATGAAAGTATGACTGGGATTAATGAAGTGACCAACACTTATGATGCACTTAATTAGCTACCCCAGACCACATGAGAAATGAGGTGAAGAATTCCCCTAGTTAATTAACTAAGTTAGCATAGATCATCATAATATGTCTACGAAGTTGAGTTTATAGTATCATTTGAGTGTTCTTGATGATTATAATGAAATTTATGTTATCAGTCCAATAAGTCTAAGTCAATTAAATGCCTGAGCAAACCAATAATGACCGCCTTTAACTGAAATGAAAGACGTTTTTATGTGGTAAATGCAAGATTTGATTTCCGACCTGGAGAATCATTGCCTATCTAACTCTGCACAAGTATACCCCTTTATTGGTTGATGTAGTTATTGATGTATTCATTCACCAGATACAGTTGGTATTTTTAACGTAAAAGGCTTTTATCAAACTGAGATATTCTTAGTAAGGCTTTCATATTGATAGCCAGACATTTCCCCTGATAATAGAATTAATAATCTAAGGAAGTCTTGACAGTACATCTCATATGATTGACATTGATCCTATCATTGGTATGGTTGTCTTTCACTTTGACTGGTCATTATTCACAACCTTTTAGTAATGTCGTGCGCATTGTGGTACAGAATACTTACATGTTGGTGGGGTGTATAGTTTATAAGTTTCAAGTTCTTGTTTCCAGTTTGTTGTAAGGCTTAAATAGAAAATAATCATTGTTACTTGTCTTTACATTTAATGAAATTCAGTCATCGAATATCTATTCGTATTCCCGACTTTGAACCTCACATTCTGGGTAAGCTAGTCTTACCAGCTGGAAAGGCCGTGTTTAATATCAGCTATGATAACAACACTACGCAACTCTCCACTAATCAGTGAGCGATCAGCCTCCGTAACCATTTTATGCTTTCATGTATTTAAATGTCTATTGCTCTTGGTAAGATTGTAAATTCTCCATCCACAGTCACTATTGCTAGCGAAATACATAAACTAGTCAGTGTACTCACTTATTTCCTGTGCTCATTTGTTACTTCCTTACGCATGTTGCCCTTCCTGGATGGGCATAGACCGCCCACCAACACTCCATCTAACCCTGTCCTGGACAGTCCTTTCTAGTTGCTATTTATCCTTTTGGTGTCTCCTTTCAATTCCCGATGCAGTGTGATCTTTGGTCTTCCTCTTTTCTGTTTCCCTTCACGATCCCAGGTCAGGGCTTGCCTCATGATGCAGTTTCGTGAAATCCGAAATGTATGTTCTGCCCACTTACAGCGTCTTTTCATAATTTCCTCTTCAGATGGAAGCTGGTTTGTTCTCTCGCACAGTAGGCTGTTGCTGATGGTATCCGGCCAATGGATGTTGAGTATCTTGTGTAGACAACTATTCATAAATACTTGTACCTTATTGATGATAGTTGTAGTAGTTCTCCAAGTTTCAGTTCCGTAGAGTAGAACTGTCTTGACGTTCATGTTGAAGATTGTGACTTTGATACTGGTTGACAGTTGTTTTGAGTTGCATATGTTTTTCAATTGTAGGAATGTTGTCCTTGCTTTGCCAATCCTTGCCTTTAGGTCTGCATTCGATCCTCCTTGTTCATAAGTGATGTTCCCCAGGTACTTTAAATATTCCGGCTCTTCCAGAGCTTCTCCATCAAGTGTGATTGTGTTGGTGTTCTCTGTTTTGTATTTGGGGATCTTGCCTTTTCCTTTGTGTATATTGAGGCCTACTGCTGCAGAGGCTGCTGCTACACTAGTTGTCCTCACCTCCATTTGATGATGTGTGTGGGATAGAAGGGCCTCGTCATCTACGAATTCCAAATCTACTGATTAATTTCGTGCTTTCCCTCAGATGTCGAGGTCTTCATAATCCAGTCGACCACCAGAAAAAAGAGGAAGAATGAGAGTAAACAGTCTTGTCTGTCTTCGATCCTCACTTGGAATGCATTTGTCATCTGTCATGCATACACGACTTCCACTGTATTCCATCGTGTGAATTACATATTCTTTTCAGGTACTCACTCCACAGTGCCAAAGAAGTTTTCATAATATTCTGTCCACACTGTCAAATCCCTTCTCATAATCAAGGAAGTTAATGTATGGTGACGAGTTTCACTCAACTGATTGTTCAACGATGATCCGTAGTGTCGCGATTTGGTTTGTGAACAACCTATACTTACAGAATCCGACCTGTTGATCTCGAAGCTGGACGTCTACTGAATCTCTCGTCCGTTTCAGCAACACTGTCGAAAACCTTTCCTGGTACCAATAGTAGTGTGATACCTCCGTAGTTCTCACATTTGCTCAGATCTTTCTTTGATATATTGGTGAGCTAACTTCCTTCCCAGTCTGTCGATGGCACTTCTTCCTCCCAAACCTTCTTGAATAGAATGTGGAGCATACTTGCAGTTGCTTCTATGTGTGACTTTAGTGCTTCGACTGGTGTACTTTCAGGTCCTACTGCTTTCCCACTCCTGATTTGTTTGATGGCCATCCTGATTTCTTCGCTCGTTGGTGGAGTGACATCTATAGGAGTGTCTGTGTGTGCTGCTTCGATGTCCAGTGGAGCTGGTGCATTCAAGCGTTTCTCAAGATATTCTGCCCATTTGTTCCTTTGCCGTTGGATATCGATGATTGTCCTGCCTTCCTTGTCTTTGACTGGTCTCTCTGGGTACTGTATTTCCTCGCTAGTTTCTTCGTTGTGTCATAATATGGCTGTCTCATATTTCCTTCTCTTGCAGTTTTTTCCGCTGTCGTTTCCAGCTCTTCCACATATTTCTGCTTATCTACCCTAATGTTCCTCTTCACGTGCTTGTTTGCTTTCGTGTATTCAGCTTGCACCATGACTTTCTCTGCTCTTGTTCGGCTGCTGTTAATTGCTGTCTTCTTGTTCTTCCTTTGTTGAATTTTGTCCAGGATATCGATAGAGATGCATACCTTGTGATGATGCTTCTTGCCACCCAGTGCTTCCTGAGACGTTAGAGTTAGTGCTTCTTTGATCCCTTTCCAGTTGTTCTCTATAGTAGTAGTTTCTTCTTCTTTGAGCAGATACTGTGAGGCTTAGAACCTGTTGTTGAGAGTTATCTTGAGTTGGTTGTGATTGTTATTATCTCATATTAATGTTGTATTGGACATTTGTACTGCTGTTTTCCCAGCTTTCCAGTATTTGCTTGGCTTCAGTTCAGTTTCATCCTGGCCACAACCAGGTGGTGATCTGGTGATCAGCTCCGATCCTGGTTCTCATGTCTTCCATTGTCCTTCTGAATTTTTTATTGTCACAAATATGATCGACCTGGTTCCCCGTGGTGTGATCCGGTGAGACAGATCCATATAGATTTGTATATGTTTTTTTGGGGAATTTTGTGCCGCCTATAACCAATTTGTTTAATGCACATAAATTTGCGGATCTCTCACTACCGTCGTTCCTTTCTCACAGTCAGACCATGCCGTCCCACAATATCTTCATATCCAGTGCTGTCCATTCCTACTTTTGTGTTTAGGTCTCCGATCATGATGGTGAGGTGTTTTTTGGGTACTTCAATATGATTGATTGCAACCTCTCATAAAACTGATCTTTATTGATGTCATTGCTATCATTAATGAGCATATTGCATTGGATAATATTCATTGTTATTTCTACTTACTTCGTTTTGAACGGTGCTTTGGTGATTCAGGGTCCATGAGATTCCCATCCTATGAAAGCTTTCCGTGCTTCTTCGGACAGCATCAAAGCAACTCCCTGAGTGTGCGGAGCATTTTCGTCGTTGTAACCAGAGTACAGCAGCATCTCTCCCGAATATATCCTATTCTGTTCAGATCGGGTTCAGTGCGTTTCACTAATTCCGAGCATTGTCAAGTTGTATCTCATTATTTCCGCAGTTATTTGGTTGGCCTTCTCGGTCTTCCACATTGTCCGAACATCCCATGTACTTATATAAGTTGTTGCTCTGGTTGTTAGAAGGGGCATCGGCCTCGTGACATTTGAAGAATCTCGGCTTTCATCATCTGGCGTCATAATTCTTCCATCAACTTGTAAGGCAGAGTTTAAATGGTTTAAGTTGTGTATTCTGGTTGGCGTCTTTTAGCTAGATTTCTTTCTATCGGATGGGGTTGTCGATCCCACGCCCAATCTTTCTTTTTGTGGGCTTGGGACCGGCAGTAACTCTAGAAGAGCTACAGGCGGAGTTGCTCATTTGTTATTATATATCAAAATACGGGACCAAACATGCATTGACTTTATTTTACTTTATACCCGAATAATAATTTGAACTTGAAGCAGTTTAATTTTAGTGAATATATCTTGTTGTATGATCGGTGGTCATACAAACTGGATACTACATATCAATTAGATGGAAAAGCTTATAATTCTGTAACTTTAATATACAAAATCGGTTTAATTTCTCTATATTAACTCATGTCTTTGTCTTTGGTAGATGTAATGACTCACTGTAATGTTTTTTAAGATCTATAAGTAATGTTTCCTACAAATACACAAAATTAAGTTCTCTATATAAGCGTCATTTCTTCAAATGTAAACATTGTTCCAGATGTGCAGCCAATTTTCTTATAGCGATATAAAGTGGTACCATCTTCACTGTGAAAACAAAGTGATCTCAAGTCAGTTTTCAGATACTTTACCAAACTAGGCACCTACAAATAGAAAGGAGAATATATAAAGGTTAGGTGTGGTGGATACTGCTAATACATTGATACTTCAAGTATATTGTGGCAAAAATATTCCAGGTGAATGCTCAAATCCATTACTATGTTCTTGCTGTACCATTTTATTGGCAGTTATCAATATAATAACTACGCAAATACTTCTTTCTTACTTATTATCCATATAGATATATGGTTTGATCAATACGTACTCTTAATTTTTTGTATTTAAAATTTTAATCTAATAAATGTATATTTTCTAAATTTATTATTCATTTTCTCTTATTTATGTGGTTTTAATATTTAACGAAGTCGTTTGGGAGGTCTAAACAGAGGTTCTGTATGTGCTGACACCCGTCAGTAAGATTTACCTATAATCTCGGAGAAACTTAATGATATTCAGCTCATAAGTAATCTATAATACCGGTTGCCAAAAGTAACTAATATCATACTGTATAATCCTTAGTATTTTGTTAACCTATTTTCACCTACTCTTTCTTTGTTTCCTTGTCAGTAAAATAATAAATAAATGGTACTATGTAATTGCATATTAGTTCAGCAGTTGGGATAAAAGTCACCTTTAGTCAATGCTGTTATTTTGTATTATATTAAAGTATCTTATTGGTTTGTTGGCTAAATATTGTCGTCCACTGAGAAACAAAAGTTGATTCATTACACAAAATATGTTGTTTGTCAATTGTTACAATAAAATGAAGTGTGATTATTAGCTTCTGTATAATAAAAATTAATTTAACTTTGTTCGTTTTATCTATACACTCTTTCCAATTTAGCTTTGAACGTCTGTGTTTGTCTGTACAAAAAGAGTGAATCATCAGAAAGGCTACATCAAATTTTCTACTGAGTTTCTGCAATTGGTGCCACTGATAATAATGCGTGATGATGAATGAATGATGAATTGACCATGCACATAAATCACATTAAGTCTATATATTTATACTGTAATATATGTTCTCATAAGTATGCGTTTGATTGTGTTTATCAAAATGCGTTTGTTTTCTTAATGTAAAACTTAATGGATTTTATTGTACGTGTGTTAACACTTCCTTACGTGTTTACTTACGTTAAATGGCTATTCATCTTGATAAGCACTGAATGTTACCAAACCCTCTTTTTATCATTGTGTGTAGCGTTTAATTTACATTTCCATACTAAAATGTTTGAATTGACTTCATTATTAACTTATATTTATATAATCTTTTTCTCAAAGAATATCGTAGCATCATCATAAAAATGCACTTATTTTATTACGTGTGTCTCTGAAAAAAAATCCAGCTACGAATAAGGTCATATACATCTATAAAATATTTTATGCTCGTAAATATGAAAACACATTGGAGAATTTTCTGTCCGCTTGCACACTGGAGGATTATACCCTTATCTTAAAAATAGCAAGTATCAAACATCTTTTTTATTTGATTCTTAAGGTGAATCACAAATGTTCTTGGTGCTTTTGTTTGCTTAAACTACTTTGGTGTTGTGACGTAGTAATGTGGATTTTGTTACTTCAAGGATTATATTCTGCACTTAAACCAACTCAATAATTAATATGGCTGAAAAAATAATACTAGTATGTAACTCATTTTATTTTCAGTGTAAACAATAGCCTTCAGCAATATTAAGCTATCGCGTTTTGGGGGTTCGACTGAGCAATAATTAAATATTTAGACAGTTTGTACACCTAATTTCGTGTATTAAAAATGAAGCGCAATTAGTTCTTCTGATTGCTTCTGAGTGTGATCGTGATTGATTTGATTTCACGACCAATACTTTTTTTCCGTTTACAGCTAACAAAGTAAGTGATGTAAGTAAATCAGGTGCTAGTCATCCGACTAAATCTTTAATGAGCGTTCATCTTCCAATACATAGATGTAAGAATTTAGAGCGCAAAGCATTCTCCAAACAGTGTAATATGGTTGGCTGTTTATCAAACCGATCCTAGATTGGGTAACTTTGTAATGTCAGATAACCGAGCTCCCCCAAAATTATCATTTACTATTTTTATACTTTCTTGTACATTTTTATCTAACCTGCTTAATGCTCCATCTAATCAATTTCAGATGTCATGTGATGAATTTTATCGTGATATTAAGCGTCATGGTAGTACAGCTCAGGATACCAATCTCACTGTAGTACTCAAAAATCATTGTCTGTACTTTAATTATTTCGTTAGTACCTGTCTCACTCATTTTTGTGATTAATAAAACTCGTCTTACCAGGTGATTATTAGTTTGATATAGCTCATTTACCAGACCGTTTCATGTAATCGGATCTAATTAATACCATGAAAGCTAGCGAGGCGGGATCCGAACTTGCAACTTACTGGTTAGAGTTCAAGCGCCGTAATCAATAATCCATTAGTCATACTAATGTTATGTTTATTTGTGTGATTAGTGTATTATTGCAGACACTGGATAGTGCTAAATATATCCTACACTTTAGAGATTTTTTACTAGTTTAATCTATGATTGCTGTGATGTGTTTTGAAAAAAAATTGTGTTCCTTTCCATACAACTGGTTTATTATAAACAGTAAATAAATTATACTCAATTATATGCATGATTATGATCTTACCCAGTAGTCTAAACTAGAGTACGTGGAGTAAGATTTAAAATTTCAATCATTTACTGAACATTAAACTATATAATTAGTGAATCCCAGTCCTGTCGTATCAAACCTTTTCACTTAAATTATCTGATATTCATTGTAATTAAAACATGAAAAAGTTTTTATAAGTAACTTCGGTCAAGTATATTCTCATGATATCCTGTTTTATTTGGGAATATTGTCAACATTTATTAATTACAAACCTCTAATCCACACACAATATCAAACAGTTATATTGAATTGATCTATCGACAAACTAGTTTGTTTGTAACTAGACATTCAGTGTTCTGTCTTCTGTTATAATCGAAAATTTTATGGTGAAATATTGATCACATGTAATTTATTAACATTCTCGCCGATCGCATTAAAGCAAATAAAGGTGGACCTATTTTCTTTCCAAACTACAATCGGGTGAACGTTATAAACCTTCGAAAGACATTAAATTGAAATTGGGCGTATTTTCCTTATTTATGTATACTGCCGGGCTATTCCTAGTTTTTATTATCAAGTAATCCGTGTGTATTTTATTTCTAGAAAATATAATGCTAAAACTAAGACATAATGAATTGACACCTGGTAGAGTTTACTAGAATACTATACAAACTTCGATTATTACTCTTAACAACATAAAATGTTTACATTCATTTTTAGTGTAGCTTTTGCTAACTATATACGATACTTTTGTAAATAAATCGATTATCTGCTTTTAATATAACGCGCATTCCTGTAGCCGTCATGAAAAATTAAGGTCATGTTCATAAATCTTGCGAATTGATTGATTAAATTTTTACTTTTATAATCAGGCAGCTTATTTTTTAATCTCACTTAATTTGAACAACTTTAAGTATGTACATCCATTTGTATCATTATTCTTATGTTTGAATTGTTTAGATAAAATACTTATTTATTCTGAATGCATTAATAACTATGCTGTTCACATTTCTTTTGTTATAACAGTAGTAGTGTGAAGAATCATTTAGTTTTCACAATTTTTAACCTTGAAATATTAACCGTCTATGCATATAGTGAATTATTTGCCTATCAATATCTTGTAGATTCTGTATGGTAATTCATATATGTTCATTAACTCCTAGCTTTTAAATCATGATTATATTGTTAGTTGTTGCCACAATATTGTTTCTTCATTCTCCAAGATAAATGTACTGAAATGATCTCAAAATCTATTGTATGTGATCAGATTACTTTCAGTAGATTAATGTTGAGCAGTCGTAAATACCTATGGATTTGGTACAAGTATGTATCTGTCTGAACTATTGTATCTAATAGGACAGCTGAGGAAGCGAGTTAATGGAGTAGTAATAATAATAAGTTCGGGATCTAGAGAGAAATAGAGGAATGTAACTGCAACCGATAGTTGAGTGCTCTCATCTATGGTCTGTCAACACGAGTTACGGAACCACTCAAAAGGTAACTGAAAGGGTGATTTCATCGGTCATGTACTCTAAGATTTTCAAGTACCATTTTGTGTAAAATATCTTTTCCATCAAAAATATTGTATATCACGGAAATATATTGGCTCTACAGAGTTCCAGTTGACTGTTTATATTTGACTTACTGAAGCGCCGGTAGTCATATTTTTTTCGAATCAGATCTTTGTTTTCTTATGTTCCTAAAATATTCACTTGGATAGTATTTTTTCATAGTTCACTAACATTACTGTCAATTGCCTACCGCGTTTGTTCACAGTCCAGTCTTTCACATGCTTCTGCACATTATTTCGCTTCTCATGAGACAGAACTACTAAGTAACCGGATTGAAGTCGATTTCCATTTTGATTGGGATTATGTTATGCCTTAGAGTTGTTGTATAAAGCCATTTAAACTTTTTCAAGCATTTCAGATGAAAGACTAAAACCAACCAATTGAATTGAAAAACATCTATTATTTTTATAATGATGTTTTTAGATACTGACATGGTGGAGATTTGTAGCTCAGGTGGATAATTTTGATGAAGTTTTGTTCTCTGAGCTGCATAGTTTAGTCTTGGAGCTTTCACCGTTCTTTTGAACGACATCACAACAAATTTCAGGTAGTCAAATCAACGCACAAAGTTCGCTTATTTGATTTGAGATATTACTTGAGTTTTAGAAAACGTGGTTGAAAGAATAAATTCTTCATAACATCGAAAAATACCAGGGATTCAAACATCTATTTTTGTTTCCTGCTGGTTTTATTGACGTGATACAAAAGTGAATATTTTTTGCACTCTCAAAGCGATGAGTTGTAGCAACTCAATCACATTTTTTACAATTATTTAGCGATATGTGGTGTTTTAACGTGGATCGCTTGGCAATAATTACGAGTTGGATGTTATAATGTTTACAAATAATCTATTCATTTCAGAACGGACATATTTTAAGGTATAGAATGCTTTCTAAAAATCAGAAACAGGAGTTAGTTAGTTTGAGTATCAAGAATTCTTAAAATTCTTTAATACATCCACATATTTCTATCTTTAAGACTTAAACAAGACATTTTCAATGCACAGCAGGATTTCGACCTGGACATGGTTGTATAGATCAGATATTCACAATACGTCAGGTTCTAGAACACAGACATACGTTCAGACGCCCCACAATGGTAGTATTTCTCGACCTTAAGGCGGCATTTGACTCTGTTGATCATAAGGTTCTATGGCAGTGTTTGTCACTGAAAGGAGTACCAAAGAAGTACATTAACCTTATAAAGGCTCTCTACTCGAACACAACTAGTAGAGTGAGAGCTTATGGCAAACTGTCATCAGAATTGATTACCTCAAGTGGTGTTCGTCAGGGCTGTCCACTCTCTCCATTCTTGTTTAACTTTGTGGTCGACGTACTTTTAGAGATAACACTCTCCTCATCTAAATTTCCAGGGGTTGAACTTCTACCGGAAGGTTCACTTGTTGACTTAGAATATACTGATGACATAGTTTTATTTGGGAAAGACGCTGACAAAATGCAGAGTCTTCTGACCACTCTAAGCAACAATGCAAGCATGTTCGGGATGCGATTCTCCCCCTCGAAATGCAAAATGTTGCTTCAGGATTGGGTTGCATTGACACCCGAACTAATGATAGGGAGTGAAGTAATTGAGCGTGTCGATCGCTTCACTTATCTTGGAAGTCTCATCAGCCCTTGTGGTCTGGTGTGTGACGGAATCTCAGCACGGATACAGAAGGCTCGACTA